GTATGGATTACTTCAAACTTTTGTTAAGCTGTAATAGTCTAGAAATTAGTTTTGACGAAGCAGAATATCACTGTAGCTTCTAATTCATTGAAATTTAGAATAAAGAAGAAAATAACTTAGGTATTGCTTGAATTGGGAAGATGTGCAAACACATACTCTTCCATCTTCCTTTATCCGTACATTCATCATAGAGATAATGCGATCACTTTCCGTCATCAACTCGACACCAGTGAGCACTCCACCGTTGTTCATAGCCTAGATGTTACTGTACGCGCTACTAGTAGAAAATTTCTAGAAATTGTACCTGATTTATTACAAGAAGGCCACCTGATCTCAAAAGGCGAATTGCATGCTCATAGTCATCAAGATAATTATCGCGTTTGAAGTCGTCCTGAAAGCATATTGCTATGACTAGTAAAAGCTGCTTACGAGCGTCACTGGGGTGGTTAGTATGGGACTTACCAGGAATATAAAGTCAAAATTGCTCGGCTCGTTTGCAGCTAATCGAGAAAGTGCTTTCTCAATCGGCTCTGATGAACGCATTTGAATCTGTGGAGTGTAAGAGTGACCAATCTGGAAAACAGTGATGTGAACAGCAAACTTCGTTTGTCTCGAAAAGTTCGCTACGCATTTTATAGTTTCTTTGAGAGCAAAGGTGTACTAGAACCGAATTTGGATAATATATTAATACTATTTATCTCCTAAAAATGTTATTGTATCAAAAACATTGGATTTCGCCAATCATTCCTTCAAGAAAAGGGCTATTTATCGAATGAGCTAGAATTGATAAGTCTGTTATGGGATGCTGTCTGCCTTATTATTGAATAAAAAGTTTGCTAGATTGATAAATTAGAGTCAGTGCAGTACTCTGATCGCTGTGCGCTGCACTTTCAGATCTAGCTTCATGGACTGTCTAAAAGATATTTCAGCGGCGTATAAATTTACTGTCGACAAGAACACATCGTACCCATTTTTTCTTGAACGGAAATTGAGAGAAGTGTGCTTTTCAAAAAAGCCTGCACTTCTCTCAATATGAGCAACACGAGAGTTTCAAAAGTTAGTTACGTTCGACTTAGTATAGCAGCTCCTCATAGAGTTGGAACTTTTCATAACCTTTCAATTGTAATAATACATATAATGATGCTCCAAAGTACTTAGACAGCCGTCATTTCTAAAGAGAAATGATTTATTTTCCTTCTTGTGGTAGTCTTAAAAATTAAGACTGACTGTATTGGCAATTCTCAGCCCAACATTCTCCCAATACTGAGCATACGAAGGATGTTCAAGTGCGATAATGATGCCCCGGGATTCAACTTGTTCTGCAATGCCCAACAAGCCCAGACCAGTGAACACTCCTGAAAAGGTCAAATACCAAAGCTGTAGCTAGTCATTCAAAGACTTGTATGAATTCTATGCAAAAACTCAATTCCAGGGGTTCCAATATAGCATACCTATCACCAAACACCTTGACGGTTGGTACAATGACATCAGCAGCTTGGCCAGTTGAACCACTTCAGGTGCTATCGAACTCCTCCATGATAAAGGGT